AGTGACCATTTGACCGGGGTTTAGAACTTCAAAATGTAAGATTCCTTTAGAATTCCACCATACGCACAATAGGGCCTTCTTTCCATGCAATTCTGGCTTTGGCGTTGGTTTCGGATCTTCTCCCGGCGACAACCACTGGTGCTTCCTCGTTGCATTGTCAAAAGAAATCCACTTCTCATGCGCAGTAACGATGGAATCAATAAAACCAGAGTTTTTTGTTTGACCAATGAGAAACCCACAAATTGATACACGAGCAGCTTTATTCGCTTCACTCAATTTGTGGGGAAGCCACTTTCCGCATCGATTAAATTTTCCAATCTCATGGAGATGATTGTCGATTGTTGATTTGGAACAACCAAATAATTCGGCCAACTCACGAGTAGTTTGAGTTGGATCAGACTCAATGGTGTTAAGCAAAGCTTCGTTATCAAAAACGACTGACCTTCCAGCGCGTTCCTCGTCCTCTAACGACTCGTTTCCGTCCGCAAAATTGAATCCTCTCCAAATGCGGCACAGATAGTTCGATGGCAATCCGCTGCAGTTTTACCTCGTTTGAAATCATACAGCATTGATGCGCGGACAACAAACTTTTTGTCTTTCATCTGCAAAACAACATATCTATTATAAAACAAAGGCAAATGAATAAAATAATATATAAAAATAAACACAAGATGCTGATGATTAAAAAGAGCATATATTTGCTCGAAGCGATTCCGCAATAGTTTCGAAATAAGTAACCCGCATTACTTATTGGACAACCTAATATTATTTTAAAGTGAAAAAAGATTGTAAAAATATTGAATTAGAAGAAAGTGATAAGAGTTTTAATGTAAAAAAAAATACGGAAAAAGAATTTTTGGGAAGGGGAGGCCTTTAGCAATAAAAGAAGTCGTTTAATTTAAAGATTTAAAGACTAATAAAACATTTAAAGAGTTTAAAAAGTAATAAGACAATGAATTTTAAAGATTCAATTTTAAAGATTGATATAAACGACAGATTGATATAAACGAAATGCCATAAACGATAATTTAGAAATGCCCGTGCTCGGATGGAGTGAGTTGTGTCCAGGATTTGAACGAGAAGCCGATTTGCCTCACCGAGTGAAACCCTTACCGGTCAATCAGTCCAAGTCAACGAGTCCCGAAATTAATTTTTCTTGATCTGCAGGTTTTTGCCTTCTTTCATTTTGCCTTGTTTCAAGGGTTTTGCCTTGTTTCATTTTTGGTGCGCATGCTGTTTTTGTAATGGTTATTGTTGCATTTCGGTTCTGTACTAATAAACAGTAACATTATAAATTCACTTTGCTTTATGCTACCCTTCAGGTTTTAAATCCTGTTTAGATGACTGGTTTAACATTGTAGAGAGACTGGTTTTACTAACATTTGTGTCACCATCGACGTAGTATCAATCCGATCCGTACTCTTCTCAAGAGTATTAATCTGGAGCTAGCGTTTGAGTGCTTTGACGGCAATTTAGCGAAGCTATACTGGCTCAGCTACAGTGTCGAATAGTTTCTACCCGAAATAAGCCTTTCTGACTGCTTTAAAAGATTTTTCTATTCAATCTGGAACGCACACCAGCTCTTGGGCCAGCGTTTGAACGTTTAGACAGCAATTTAGCGAAGCTATACTGGCTCAGCTACAGTATCCAATCGTTTCTACCCGAAATAAGCTTTTCTGACTGCTTTAAAAGGTTTTTCTATTTGATCTGGAACGCACACCGGCTCTTGCACATCCCAAACTCTACAATCTGAATGTTTAAATGTTTATTGACAATCTAACAGCATTGACAAATTATGATATTGTGAAGGTAGTAAAAGAATTAAAAATTAAAGATTTTAGGGGTATGTATGAGGGATTGCCATTGCATTGCCATTGCCATTGCCATTGCCATTGCCATTGCCATTGCATTGCCATTGCCATTGCCAAGTAAGATTAGTGATTATGAATGTGGGATCTACTCATCAATAACATGTACAAGTATACCCATTCCGACACCAACTGCTTCTATCTCCGAAACCACCCAATTTACAGTATCCTCCACGGTATCGATTGCCGCGGAGTCGCTGAAACCATCCTTGGCAATATTCACTGCGGTTGTCTATTCCATGGATGGAGCGCCACGTAGCTCTGATCGGTGCAGTGTCAATATCCCATTACTTGCGACCGGCCTGAGTTATACCAAGGATCATTGTCGATATACCAAGGATCATTGTCGAGGATTTGGCCGTTTGTCATCATTGAGAGCATGACCAAAGCCAAAAAACTGAAGGAGATTGAGCGTGCGAACATTTTCCAAATTTATTCTGAATATCAAACAAAGTTAAACTTTATTTTAAGGACTTTTTAAGGTTATATAAAATCAACTAACCTTTTTTGTAATAAAGGTCCGATTGTCTACTTTCTACAAAACAAAACACTTACCGTAAATACTGTAATTAGACCCCATGGGGTACTATTTTTTCCCTCCCCCTCTAGGGTGGGGTACTATTAGAGGGTGGGGCACTATTAGAGGGTGGGCTACTATTTTACACCACTATTCAAATTACCAAATCAGGACACATTCAAATAATTTTTTCAAAAGCAAACTTTTTCTTTAGTTTTTATTGGTTTTAACCATTTGAAAATTTAACAGTAAAACGAAACAAAAATAACTAACAAGCGAAATCAATAGAAACATCCAAATCAATGAATTCATCATTTGCTTGATCATCAATTCCTCGATGTCCTTGAAATCCCGTCGATGCGATCGGCCACAAGAGGTCCTCGATTTCCGTGTCTGTCCGATTTCCATCTCTGATCTCTAACACAAACTTCTTTGGCTCCAACCGCTTCGATGCACTTGCTCGTCGAAGCATCCAGCCAAACCGCCGTCTCATCGCAAGCAACAATGTGCTTGTAATCGCCTTCTTTGATTGTCTTGTTCAGCCTCAGAATGTGCTCGACGATGGCCTTCTCAAATTCGCTCGGCAGCTTTTGACAAGTTGTTGTTGGTGCCCTCAAAGAAAGTTGGTGGCGACCTCAAGAACGACCTCAAGACCTCAAGAAGGACTCCATCCAGCCATGGGTTCTTTTGAAAGAAATTTCAGCTTTTTAGAATCGATTAGCCGCTTCATTCCAGATAATCCGGCGTGTTACTCGTTACTGTGTTACTTCTCGGCTCGACGATCCCGTATCCATTCAGCCAAACCGATATCAATCCTCTCCGAGTTCAAGTGGCGTCCGGCTCCATTGAGTCTCTTGCGTTTTCCGTGGGCTTTCTCTAGCTCGATTTCTTGTTTGATGTAGGAACGCACACATTTTCGATTAATCTTATAGAATGCAGCAGCTGCTTTGATCGAAACATCGTTGCCCATCTTTGCAACAAAGGGGGGTGGCTGCGAAATTCTTTGCGCAACTCGCCATAGCTTTCTTCTAAGTGGGCCAACCTTTATGATTTTGGTGTTACTTTGTTGCACTTGTTGAGATCTGCAATCATAAAGATTGGTCCATTTAGAAGAAAGTTATTGCGAGCTGCGCAAAAAATTTGGCGCAAAGTATTTAAAAACAACAAATTTATGGGATAAAATTAAAAATACAAACGATTTCTGAAAATACATGAAAATTTTCCGCTTTAAAAGTGTTGTTTGTAATTACGCGTTAGGTGGGGGTGGGGTACTATTAGAGGGGTGGGGTATTATTTTTTCCCTCCCCCTCTAGGGTGGGGTACTATTAGAGGGGTGGGTACTATTAGAGGGGTGGGGTCCAATTACAGTATTTACGGTATATAGGTTTCCGGTAAACGTGAAAGTAAATGCATAAATGCAAAATTTGCATAAATGTCTCGATGCATTATTTTCTCGATGTCTCGATGCATTATAGATATTCAGCCATTCCAGGAAATGACTATAAAAACAAAATTTTAGCAAATATTTTCATTTCTCGTTATTTCCTTCGTTTTGGTTGCTTATTTGCATCAATTTTTCATTGAATTTCCTTTTCTTCCTTCCTTCCTCCCTTCCTTCCTCCCTTCCTTCCTCCCTTCCTTCCTCCCTCCCTTCCTTCCTCCCTTCCTTCCTCCCTTCCTTCCTCCCTCCCTTCCTTCCTCCCTTCCTTCCTTCCTCCCTTCCTTCCTCCCTTCCTTCCTCCCTTCCTTCCTTCCTTCCTTCCTTCCTCCCTCCCTCCTTCCTTCCTTCCTCCCTTCCTTCCTTCCTCCCTCCCTTCCTTCCTCCCTCCCTTCCTCCCTTCCTTCCTCCCTCCCTTCCTTCCTTCCTCCCTTCCTCCCTCCCTCCCTTCCTTCCTCCCTTCCTTCCTTTCTTCCTTCCTTTCTTTCTTCCTTTCTTTCTTCCTTCCTTCCTTTCTTTCTTCCTTCCTTCCTTTCTTCCTTCCTCCCTTCCTTCCTCCCTTCCTTCCTCCCTCCCTTCCTTCCTTCCTCCCTTCCTTCCTCCCTTCCTTCCTCCCTTCCTTCCTCCCTCCCTTCCTTCCTCCCTTCCTTCCTCCCTTCCTTCCTCCTTCCTCCCTTCCTTCCTCCCTCCCTTCCTTCCTTCCTTCCTTCCTCCTTCCTTCTTCCTTCCTTCCTTCCTTCCTTCCTTCCTTCCTTCCTTCCTCCCTTCCTTCCTCCCTCCCTTCCTTCCTTCCTCCCTTCCTCCCTCCCTCCCTTCCTTCCTCCCTTCCTTTCTTTCTTCCTTCCTTTCTTTCTTCCTTCCTTCCTTTCTTCCTTCCTTCCTTCCTTCCTTCCTTCCTCCCTTCCTTCCTCCCTTCCTTCCTCCCTCCCTTCCTTCCTTCCTCCCTTCCTTCCTTCCTTCCTTCCTTCCTTTCTTTCTTCCTTCCTTTCTTTCTTCCTTCCTTCCTTTCTTCCTCTTTCTTGTCTCTCCTATTTCTTCTTGGCGCCGATAGCTCAATGGTAAATGCCCGGTAAGCAGAAGGTTAAGGGTTAACATCATTTTGAAGTGTAGTTGAAAAAAATGTAGCGTAAATGCTTTTAATCGTCCCAAACCGTCATAATTTATTCAAAATGCCCTAAAATTTGTGTTTCTCGAAAAAGTGAAAATCCTGATGATAAATGGCTTTTATGTACTCCATTGTTCGATTGTTTTCCATCACTTCTTTCTTCAAGTTTCGCTTTTCCGTTCGATTCTCTGAGGCATGCGCTGTTGAGGAGCGAAGCAAGTGACGCAGAGCCTGGAAATGGTGATTTTCAAAAAAAACAGAATCGGTATTTCTTCTATTTGGCTGATTGATGAGTCTCTAATGAGAAATCTCGGCTAAAAACCTCGGCATATTGGATATTGGATTTCATATTGGATGAAAGCCTAATTAATGCATCCAAGCTCTTTAATTAATATATTTTTGGTCGAATCCCTAGGTGAGTTCTCTTTTCGAGCCGACTTTCAAATCTTGTTGATTTTGAGGGAAATTTGTGGCTTCTTGAAAAGCAAATTTGGTTGAAAATTGTATTTTTGGGCTATCTGGATGTCACACTAGTCGATAAGCAGCTTAAAACCCCATAATTTCTACTTATCAGCCAGACCGATGCACTAGTGCCGACTTTAGACCAATTTCTGGCCTCTTGAAAAGCGAATTTGATTTTAAATTATATTTTTGAGCCATCTGGATATCACACTAGTCGACAAACAGCTTAAAACCCCGAATTTCTACTGATCAACCAGGCAAGTCCGATGCGTTGCTTGCGGACCAGAATTTGTGGCTTCTCGAAAAGCAAATTTGGTTGAAAATTGTATTTTTGGGCTATCTGGATGTCACACTAGTTGATAAGCAGCTTAAATCCAGCTATTGCCGCTGGCAATCCAACTTTGCCATTGGCAGTCTAACTCCATTTGCAATCCAACTTTGAGCTTGAATACCTCGGTGTTGGTTTGTCCAATCTCAATCTTCCTTATATAATTAGATGCGTCAAGTCATTCCCTATCGATTGGTATAAAAATTGTTTAATTTGGACAACCCAACCCCAAGATATTTGAGCTCAGAGTTGGATTGGTAAAAATGGCCGGGGCTTGTATATAAGAAACGCCTAGCTTTTTTGCCATTGGCAACCAATCGACAAAGAAAGACTTGACGCATTTGTACATTTGGACAACCCAGCCCCAAGATATTTGAGCCCAAAGATTGCCAATGGCAAAAAAGCTAGGCGTTTCTTATATACAAGCCCCGCCCCTTTTTTCCAGTTAACTTTGAGCTCAAATTCCTTGGCGCTGGGCTATCCAATTTCACCATTTATAAGATCATTGGACGCGTCAAGTCTTTCTTTGTCGATTGCCAATGGCAAAAGGCTAGGCGTTTCTTATATACAAGCCCCGCCCCTTTTTACCAATCCAACTCTGAGCTCAAATATCTTGGGGTTGGGTTGTCCAAATTAAACAATTTTTATACCAATCGATAGGGAATGACTTGGCGCATCTAATTATATAAAGAATATTGAAATTGGACGGCTCAACACTAAGAAATTTGAGCTCAAAGTTGGATTGCCAATGGAGTTAGACTGCCAATGGCAAAGTTGGATAGCTAATGGCCATAGCTAGATTTAAGCTGCTTTTCAACTAGTGTGACATCCAGATCGCCCAAAAATACAATTTTCAACCAAATTTGCTTTTCGAGAAGCTACAAATTCTGGACCGCAAGCAACGCACCAATGGCAAAAGTTGCCACACATGGCAAAAGTTAGATTTAAGCTGCTTATCGACTAGTGTGACATCCAGATCGCCCAAAAATACGTTTCTCAATTAAATTTGCTTTTCGAGAAGCCACAAATTCTACCGTAAGCAACGCACCAATGGCAAAAGTTGCCACACATGGTAAAAGTTAGATTTAAGCTGCTTATCGACTAGTGTGACATCCAGATCGCCCAAAAATACAATCTTCGATCAAATTTGCTTTTCAAGAAGCCACAAATTTCCCCTCAAAACCAACAAGGCAAAAGAAGGCAAATTTCCAATGGCCAAAGAAGCGGGACGCGTATCAAATGTCCAGTAATCGTAGTAAAAGACAGCTGACCTTGTTGCCGACTCTTTGCGGGATGCGTGCTCTCCGGAAAACAGTCATCATCTCTTGGCGCATTTTTTGCCGATTCGAAGAATGATGCACCAATGTTGTTCGATTATTTTCGATGTTACAATATCTAGAAATTCGATTTTTAAATGTTTAAAAGGGAAAAACGGCCTTTATTTGAATTGTTTTCATTTTGAATCATTTTATTTGATAAAATGGTTGAATACAACTTTTCGCAAACCTTGTTTGTGGCCACGAATGCCATGTGATAAATTGAGTGCTTCTTGAGGCGGCTTTCCCCTTTTTGAGCTCCGCTTTTTGGATTTTGTATAGCCAGCGGGCGAAATCGTGAATCGTTTTCACTTTCGCCGGGCAATCCGAACGACTGAAAGCTTTGATTTTGATTTTATGAATTTATGTGTTGAAATGATGAGTTTTGCATTTCTAAACTTGTAAATAGCAGTAGTGCATTCCAGGATGGCTAAAGATTTTGATTTTAATGAATTTAGATAATTAGCGTCTATAGGAAAGCGACGAACTCGAACAGTGCAGACGGGTCAACTATAAGTCAATAAAGTTTAGATTCTAAGTTTATCAATTACTCTAGTGCATTCCAGGATGGCTAAAAATCTTGATTTTAATGAATTTAGATAATTAGTGTCTTTAGGAAAGCGACGAACTCTTACCGCAAAGGGGTCAACTAACTAAGTTAATAAAGTTTAGATTCTAAGCTCTTGAATCACTCTAGTGCACTCCAGGACCGCTAAAAATCTTGATTTTAACGAATTTTGATAATTAGCGTCTATAGGAAAGCGACGAACTCGAACAGTGCAGAGGGGCCAACTAACTAAGTCAATAAAGTTTAGGCTCTAAGCTCTTGAATCACCCTAGTGCACTCCAGGACCGCTAAAAATCTTGATTTTAACGAATTTAGATAATTAGCGTCTATAGGAAAGCGACGAACTCGAAAGCGGCCACAGCAAGGCAGCTCCTGTGCTCCAGGTGGCTAAAATCTTGTTTACGAATTTAGATAATTGCGCTATAGGAGGCGACGAACCGACACTGCAGCGGGCAACTATAGGTCAATAAGTTTATGTCTAGCCTTGAATCACCCTGTGCACCCAGGTGGCAACTTGTTTTAATGATTTAGATAATTAGTGTCTATAGGAAAGCGACGAACTCGAACTGTTGACCCGAAAAGGGTTCAACAAGTCCAACTTTGTCCAAAACTCAAAATTATTAAGCCGTGTGCTCCAGCTCGAAAAATGGAAAGGATTTTAATGCAGTGGATAACGAGCACTTGCACTTTTTCACCCAGGTTCGTTTCCTTATACTGCTATTTTTATTTATTTATTTATTTCTGATTTCGTCTCCAAAATCAAAAACTTACAACTTGCACACAAATTTGTAGACGGAAACGAAGCGCTCGATCGGCTCGCGGACGATTGTGAAGCGAACGGTTTCCCATGGCTTTAACCACGTCGCCATCCACCACCACCAGAAATTCTGATTCTTTCGACATTGACTAAATTCGGTGAGGTGATTTCTTTATCTACTGTGACATCCAGGATTTCCATTTACGCAAAAATTAGCATAGTTTTGTATGCTAATTTTCTCTAAAATGAGCCAATCTTGCTTCGACAGGTCGTAAAGGCCGTTTTCTCTTGAAAAAGGCCAAATTTGATTTCTTCATCTACTGTGACATCCAAGATTTACATTTACGCAAAAATTTGCATAGTTCTATTTGCTAATTTTGTCTGAAATGAGCCAATCTTGCTTCGACAGGCCGCAAAGGCCGTTTTCGCTTAAAACAGTCCAAATTTGATTTCTTCATCTACTGTGACATCCAGGATTTACATTTACGTCAAAATTTGCATAGTTTTGTATGCTAATTTGGTCTAAAATAAGCCAATCTTGCTTCGACCGGCCGCTAAGGCCGATTGACGATTGACGAAATGTTTCCAGGAAAACGTTAAACTCACTTCTCATAAGTGACTTTTTGTCCAAGTCTCTGTTTATATGGAATCCCCTTGTATTCCCGGAGGATATCGCAGAGGATTTCCTGCGTAATCGTGATCCCAGTCTTCGGAATTAGACAAAATTCGACGCCGAAGCCTTGATTTATCTGAAAGTTTTGATTACGGTCAAGATTAAGTCAAGACAAAAAACGTCAGACAAAAAACGGTCAAGACAAAAAGACTTGTCTTACGGTCAAGGCAAAAAACACTCTTTTTTGATCTCTTTTTGACCAGAATTGTCCTGTGAGTTCCAAAATGAAAATAGAAAATAAAAAATCAATTGGAAATTGCACTCACCCTCTCCACCGCGAGATTCCCGCCATTCAGCGGTGCCACTGAAAGTAAACTTTTCGAACACAGAGCGGTGACAATGTTTCGGCTCTTGATTCCTATCTATTTCGCACTCACTACTACTAATTTTGATTTCTTCATCTACTGTGACATCCAAGATTTACATTTACGCAAAAATTTGCCTAGTTCTATTTGCTAATTTTGTCTGAAATGAGCCAATCTTGCTTCGTCAGGCTGCTAAGGCCGCTTTTGCTTAAAACAGTCCAAATTTGATATCTTTATCTACTGTGACATCCAGGATTTACATTTACGCAAAAATTTGCCTAGTTCTATATGCTAATTTTGTCTGAAATAAGCCAATCTTGGCTTCAACAGGCCGCTAAGGCCGTTTTTGCTCAAAAGAGTCCAAATTTGATATCTTTATCTACTGTGACATCCAGAATCTGCAGCTACGACAAAATTTGCATATTTTTATGCAGTGAATTTATCTGAAATGAGCCGATCTTGCTTCAACGTTCGCTCGCTAGGTAATTTTTCCATAAAGGCTCCAAATTTGATCTCTTTACAGGTAGCCGGTATACTGTAGACTTTGTCGTATTTTAAAACTCACACATTTTCGCGATCCCGTCCCGCAAAACGAAAAACACAAGCCACAAGCGAGAGGGATTCATTTTTGAGAAATAGATATTCAGTGGAAAATTGCTCAACTGGCAGAATGCAGAAAATGGCAGAAATTTCGGTTGAAAACTTTTGGTGAGCTCCAGATTGGAAAATGGTAAGCCCTGTCTCCTTTCACATCATCTTGAGTTCGACTTTGTGTAGCCGTAAGTACTCCGATATCCCCTTAAGCTCATTGAAAGGGATCAAAGGCGACAAGAAACACAAAAACGAAGTGTGCACTCCAGATGGAGAAATGGTTTGATCAAAAAATCAAAAGGAAAAGCTGAAGAGGCACTTTAGGGGGAGTGAAAGGGGGCGGTTATGAGCCACTCATGATCAGCGCGTGAAATGGCGAGTTTTGCATTTCTAAACTTGTAAATAGCAGTAGTGCCTTCCAGAATGGCGAAAAATTTTGATTTTAATGAATTTAGATAATTAGTGTCGATAGGAAAGCGACGAACTCTTACCGCAAAGGGGTCAATTAACTAAATCAATAAAGTTTAGGCTCTAAGCCTTTTTAATCCCCTTGCCCCCCGCCGGGCACAAAAATCTTGTTTTTTTTTAATTTTTTTTTTTTTTGTCTTTCTAGGGGAAAGAGACGAACTCGAACAGTGCAGACGGGTCAACTATAAGTCAATAAAGTTTAGATTCTAAGATCTTGAATCACCCTAGTGCACTTCAGGATGGCTAAAAATCGTGATTTGAATGAATTTAGATCATTAGCGTCTATAGGAAAGCGACGAACTCGAACGCGCATTGACTCAGATCTGTTCAACAAGTCCAACTTTGTCCAAAACTCAAAATTATGAATCCGTACGCTCCAGATCGAAGAATGGCACAAAGAAGAAAGCCAAAGCACATCAAAACACGTAGAAACAGTGTTTGATTTAGCTTTGCCCCTTTCCAAGGTTGATGTCTAGGCTGAAGAAGAGCTGGTCAAGAGCTGGTCAAGAGCCTTTTCTCCTGACTTTCACTTGCCCGAATTTCGGTTGGCTGGAAAGTTGGCTGGCTGGTTTGGCTTGGAAAGTTGGCTGGAAAACAAGCTCAAGACTGTTGTCGACAAATATCGAAAGGAAAATTGTTGTTGCAAATTGTTGTTTCGAATTGTTGGTGCTTCTAGGTAGAGATGGGATCGTGATACTGCGAGAAAAATGAGGAATTTGGTGTGCCAGCTCGATTTAGTTTACGTCGGAGCGTAAAGAACAACCGACCAATCCCATGTCGACTTGCCAGATTATTTTCAATCTTTAGTCAGCCGTTTCCATCCATTTCCATTTCCGAAATGGAAATCGATGGAAACGCTTTTGCCAAAACCAGCCTAATTTCCCTTTTTTTCTCATTTTCTCTTAAGAAAAAGTACAAGATTTGCCAAAATTTACGGTTTTTTTGCGAAAATCTGTTATCTGAGCCTAAAACGGGCTTAAACAAACGCCCGAAAAGCTTTAACTGATTAAAACATGTGTTCTGGAAGGCACACTCAAAATTGGAATCAAAAGCGAAAGCGAAAACTACAGTTAATAAGGCCGGCCGAAAACTACAGTATAAGGCAGTTTCCTTGATATGAAAGCTAATCTGGAGAGCACAGAACAAGATTACAACTGAATATCCTAGGGTTATCAAGGTTTCGTGTTACTGGGTGGCAGCCCTGACGCCACCTCATTCATTTTTCTAATTTGCGTGTCTGATTTGTGTCTAATTTTGTCTAATTAAAGTCTAATTTGCATTTAAAGTCTAATTAGCATTTAAAATCGAATTTGCATTTGAAGTCGAATTAGCATTTAAAATCGAATTTGCATTTAAAATCTAATTAGCATTTAAAATCGAATTTGCATTTGAAGTCGAATTAGCATTTAAAATCGAATTTGCATTTGAAGTCGAATTAGCATTTAAAATCGAATTTGCATTTGAAGTCTAATTAGCATTTAAAATCGAATTTGCATTTAAAATCTAATTAGCATTTATTATTTCTCTAAGCGACACTCCTCACACAATTTGAATGAATCTCGAAAGCTTTCGTGAATAAAAGCGATTTCAAATGGTGCCCTCCGTAAAATAAAATTTTCGGGCTCAACGCGAAATTCTCCAAAATTTTCCCATCCAAATCGTATTCGCTAATCTCGCGAACGCCAGCGAAGAAAGCCAAATGCTGAAGAGCTAACGCCGTCTTTGGGGCACAATAGGAATCAGCGTCGGATTGAAGGGAAGTAATGGGACGGCAGAAGCCGATCGTTTTCCAGCGCCTAGAAAAAGATTGGGTATGTTTTGAGGTGTTTAGTGTTCGATCTGGAACGCACACCAGCTCTGGAGCTAGCGTTTGAACGTTTAGACAGCAATTTAGCGAAGTCGTACTGACCCGGCTACAGTATCCAATCGTTTCTACCCGAAATAAGCCTTTCTGACTACTTTAAAAGATTTTTCTATTCAATCTGGAACGCACACCAGCTCTGGAGCTAGCGTTTAAGCACTTTGGCCGCAATTTAGCGAAGTCGTACTGACCTGGCTACATTACCCAAACATTTCTTCAAAAATAAACCCAATCCGAAAATGTTGACTGACTTTTCGTGTATCCTGGAGCGCACCAAGAGATTTCCCTACCTCAGATTGAGCCTCGTGAACAGTTTGTGAATGTCCAGCGCATTTACACAAGTTTCCCTCGACGGGCACTCCTGATCGGTTCGACAGAGGAAAGACCAGAGTCTCTGAAAACTAGCTGTGACATCCAGGATCCACGAATTATCCCTTAGAATTTGAATATGTTACCGTAATCGGTGTGAAGCCGGCCTCTCGAAGTTCATCGGCTCTGTTTCGGTGTTGATTCGTGCACTCAATGTAACTCTCGTTTACATCTTCTTCAAGCACACTTTCCACCATCATCAGAAAAAGGAGATCTTGACTGAAATGAGATTTCAGCCAAATTATGGGTTTCTTAAATTATGGCCGGTCTACCGTAACCCTTAGTCCAATTACATTTTACAGTAACCTTTGATTGCCTGTAAAAGTAAGTTCAATTGATCATGTGACATCCAGAATGACAAACGATAAGATTGAAAAGGGAAAAGATTGCAATTTGTTAAACGTATGGTCTGCGGTAGTGTTTTTCTGAGAATTAGAGTCAATCCAATTCAAAAATGAATTCACTGGGTCATGTGATCTCCAGAATGGCTGGGAATTTGGTTTGGCTTTGATCCAGCCTTAGATCTGGCTTTGATAAGGGCCTGAACCTGGTTTGGCTTCGGTCCAGCCTTGGATCTGGCCTGGATAAGGGCCTGAACCTGGTTTGGCTTCGGTCCAGCCTTGGATCGGGCTTGGATAAGGGCCTGAACCTGGATTACACCTTGTGCCTTGTCTCTGGGATCGTTGGAGATCTCTAAGATCAGTTGGAGATCTCTGAGACCGGTTGGAGATCACTGAGATCGGTTGGAGATCTCTGGGATCGGTTGGAGATCTCTGGGATCGGTTGGAGATCTCTGGGATCGGTTGGAGATCTCTGGGATCGGTTGGAGATCTCTGGGATCGGTTGGAGATCTCTGGGATCGGTTGGAGATCTCTGAGATCGGTTGGAGATCTCTGGGATCGGTTGGAGATCTCTAAGATCGGTTGGAGCACCTCTGTTCGTGGCTTGAGGTTCTATTTGATCCCATTCACTTACCGTATCATCTCCGGACTGACACCCGTCTCAAGTGTTGGCCGAAAATGTGAAGAATCCTCATTGGAAATGATCCTTTCCTCAATTTCATTTCGGAAGAAATTCGAATGATGGCACTGTTTGGTGAGGCTGCCTCTGAAATTCTCAATTTATTTGCTAAATCAAAGCTCTGAATTGGCTAGGGTGCGCTCCAGAGTCAGATTTGCATTCACTTTCAGTGAATTATAGGGTAGCAGAATTATAGGTGCAGTGCGTAGCGACAGTTAGCGACAAAAAAGTGACCATATTATATTGTTAAATTGTTATTTCTTTGTTATTTTCTGTTTGAATCTGTTTTTCTAGATTGTTTTCATCAAGGATGTTTAATTAGAATATAGCTCGATCTTCCCTACATCGACGATCGATTGTAGAGCTTTGGAAGGGCGAGTCGGCGATCGTGATCGGAAGCTGGGAGTGCATGGGGAAGCTGGGAGTGCATAGGAAAGATGAGAGTGCAGACGAATGCTGAGAGTGCATGGGAAAGCCGTGCCTCCTGCCATTCAACGCTACAACGATACTGGATTAATGTCTGATCGGTTTGGAAGAGGCAATCGATCGTGATGACCAAGAGCAACATCAAGAAAGTGCGCGAGAAGATCTTTGCAAAGCTGATCGCCAAGAATATGGGCGAATGATCAAGAATGATCGAACGAAGTGATCAAGAATCAAGATCCATTTGCTGAATCATCAAGGACAAACTCAAATTAAAGCCCTACAAGAAAAACAAGCCAGCTAGCTAAAGCCAGCCAGCTTTGCTGGCTAAACTCCCAGCTAAGCTGCCAACTAAACTGTTGGTCTGAAATTCAACCAAATGCAACGATTAGCCGCAGCGGGCACCCAGCCTCGATTGGCAATCCAACTTTGCCTTTGTGCGTCCAATTTTTTGGACGTTGACGGGAAAGACTCCACTTATCTTCCTTCCCCAAGCGATCAAAGTAAACGCAATGGCTTATTTGCATCTTCTGCGAAAAGAACTTGTTTCATGAACGCGAAAGCACTTTCATAATCGACTTTGGATCTATCTATTTATCTATCTACAGGATAGAACATAAAGCTAAGGTTGTTCGGGATTTCTACAAAGCCACCCTCCCTGACTTCATCTCGAGTGGCCTGAGCCTTTCTGAGTGGCCACCACGCTCAAACCTGATGGATTATTCTGTTTAATCTGTTCTCAAACCTTAGGCCATTAGCTCTGCGGCAAACCTTAGGCCATGAGGTCTGCGGCAAACCTTATAGAAGGTGTTCGAAAAAAGTTGTCATCGAACAGCCTGTAAAACTCTCTATAGCCTGAAGAAGACAATCTAGAAAGCATGGGATAGCCTTGAAACTTGGAAACCTGGAAAGCCCAAATAATCGCCACAATCGCCACAATCGCCAAGCGTTCCCGAAGCGTCTGAAGGCCTAGATGTGCCTGAAGCCCGAAGCGTCTGAAGGCCTGTATCGGTGCAAACGGTGGATCAGTATGAGCAGTAAAAATTGTTTGTTTTAATTTAATGAATTGCTGACAACTGTTTTTGCAGTAATTTTTTGTTTTTTGACTTTTCTCAAAAGGATTTTAGCTGCACCTATAATTCTGCCGCATCCTGTAAGCTTCTCTAATTCTTCTTAAAGCAAACTTTGATTAAAACGCCAAAACAAGAGCTGTGACTACCAATTTGATCAGCTATTGCAAATCTAGTACCCTTTGGCCTTTTGATTGTTGCAATATACGGTCGGTTTAGCTACCCAGCTACCCAGGAAAGAAATCTGCATGCCATTCACTTAAAATCGCTCAAAACAAGGGCTGTGACTTCCAATTTGACCAGCTATTGTAAAACTAATACCCTTTGATCTTTTGATTTTTGTAAAATGCGGTCGGTTTAATTACCCAGCTACCGAGCAAAGAAATTTGCATGCCATTCACTTAAAATCGCTCAAAACAAGAGCTGTGACTTCCAATTTGACCAGCTATTGTAAAACTAATACCCTTTGATCTTTTGATTTTTGTAAAATACGGTCGGTTTAATTACCCAGCTTTCCATAAGCATTTTGTCTGCATTTTTCAACAAAACTGAGAGAGAAACCTGCCAAAAATGCAGCCAATTCTTTCCCAAAAGCATAGCGACTGCGAAAACAGCAAAGCCGGTTCCGCTGCTTACCGCTTTTTCCCCTTTAAAGACTCCAAAAGGGAAGCCTTCTATACCCAGGCGGTGTGCCAGATGGCGAGCGATTAGAACAGATGACGAGCCGCACAAAGAACACCTCGCTGGTCATTTACTTTAAGATTTCTAGCATTGTAGATGGCATAAAAAGAGGAAATTCGCCTGAATTCAGCTGCGAATTTGCATCCAGGGGTTTTTGCGGTCGGTGAATCGATTGAAGCTACTCATTTTATTGAGTCTACCGGCTAGAACACGGATCTAGCTTCAAATCTGCTTTCAAATCTAATGGTGATCTAATTGGTGTTGATGAAATTGAACTGTTGAAATTGAGGCCTAAAACTTTACCAAACTCTGTCCTGACATCCAGTTCAGAGCTAAAAATTATCAAATTCAAAAATCTCCAGCTGGAACTCAGTTCAGAGCTCTGAGAAAAACCGAAAAAAAGTGCCTTCTTGAAAAATTGAAATTTCGGTCTGAAATTTTTCGAGAAATTCGAATGCATTCCAGATCGGCGATAGCAAAAGAAATTTTGACGAAATCTTTATTTTTTTCAACATTTTCAAGCCCGACCTCAAATCGTAGCCTTCCTCGTGCCACTCCGGCTCTCTGCCATCAATGCAAAGCCAGAAAGTCTCTTCGGTGAGCTCGATCGACTCCAGGACACCGAACGGGAATGTGAAATTGCGGCAAGTCCATCCAGGCAGACATTGCATCGAGTTCTGATGAGAGCACTAGAAAAATCGAAAATCAGAAATCGAAAATCGAAAATTTTTCAGAATCGAAAAAAATCGCTGAAATTTTTGGAGGCTCTGTCCTGACATCCAGTTTAGATTTCAGGGTAATTAGTTTTTCAAAAAACCAAGCTGGAACGCAATTTGAAGACTCCGATAGAGTCAAAGAAAAGAGGCCTTCTCAAAAATGAAGATTTTCGGTTGAAACTCGTTTAGCAAGTCAAATGCGTTCCAGATTGGCCAAAAATTCACAAATTTTCATAAAATCTCGAGCTTTTCAAAACAATTTTTGACTTACAAGTGTCGCTAGGAGCTGCTCGATGAATTGAAGGGTTAGCAAAAGGAAAAACATTGCGCTGTTCGAAGATTTTGAGTCTAGCGAGAAATAAACTGAAAACAGATGTGCGGGAAAGGGGAACGGGGGCATTTAGAGATCTTTTTTTGCGTTTTTTGCCTTTTTGCGTTTTTGGCCTTTTTTTGGCCTTTTTCAGCCAAATTCTGTAAGAAAGAGCCACTTTGGAAAAAAAGCGAAATTTATGTCCACAAAGAGCAAAATTTAAACACACAAAGGAACGGGCAAAAGATCTAGCATGTAAATTGATCGTTTTCGAATTTTTAGAGACCTCCTTTTCAGCAAAATGAAAGATCCACTCTAAGAAAAGAGTTCAATAACTTTTTTCCATTTTTTCATTTATTTTTACCTTCGTTTAGATCGTTTACAGAGGTTCTGGAAGTCACAGCGCTATTTAAGCGAGAATGCGGCTCGTTTCCGGCTAGTTGGAGGGCTGTTGGAAGGCTAGCTGGGCTTTGAGCGTTCTGCACCGCTTTTTGCAGCTATTCTTTGAAAAGTTTTCAATTCCAATTGTGATCTGGAAGTCACAGCGCTATTTTAGCGAGAATGCGGCTCGTTTCCGGCTATTTGGAAGGCTGTTGGAAGGCTAGCTGGGCTTTGAGCGTTCTGCACCGCTTTTTGCAGCTATTCTTTGAAAATTTTTCAATTCCATTTGTGAATTCTCTAATCCTGGAACGCACAACGGATTTTGGGTCATGCAGAATTGCTCAATCTTTCATTTTACCCTTTCGAGGCTTTCCAAACTGGCCCTGCTCCTGCAAACTGGCCTCAACACTCTCGAATCGATTTCGATCTTTTCCCAAACTCAATCCTGGAACGCACAACGGATTTTGGGTCATGCAGAATTGCTCAATCTTCCATTTTACCCTTTCGAGCCTTTCCAAACTGGCCCTGCTCCCCCAAACTGGCCTCAACGTTCTCGAATCGATTTCGATCTTTTCCCAAACTCAATCCTGGAACGCACAGCAGATTTTAAGCTACTCAGAAACGTCAAAACTTCGATTTTTTTACAACAATAAACTTTATTCACGAAATTCGAAAAGAATTTTCCATTCAATGTACAGAAACAAAAAAAAAATGGAAACACCCTGAGTTCGATAAAATAAACAATTTAAACTAAATTCTGGAATGCACAACGAATTTTGGACAAAAGAGCGAATCGCTTGGTTGCATTTAAAATTTCTACACAATCGGTTCTATTCCTCAGCTATTTGTACAGTTAAAATGGAATGCCACGCAGTTTCCTTAATAAGATAGCTAATCTGGAGAGCACAGTACAAGATTACAACTGAATATCCTAGGGTTATCAAGGTTTCGTGTTACTGCGTGGCAGCCCTAACGCTACCTCCTTCATTTAAATGCCTAAAACGGAATGCCACGCAGTTTCCTTAATAAGATAGCTAATCTGGAGCGCACAGAACAAGATTACAACTGAATATCCTGGGGTTATCAAGACTTTGTGCGACTGCGTGGCAGCCCTGACGCTGTCTCCTTCATTTGTATAGCTAAAATGGAATGCCACGCAGTTTCCTTCATACGCTAGCTCATCTGGAAGGCACAGAACAAGATTACAACTGAATATCCTAGGGTTATCAAGGTTTCGGGTCAATGCGTGGCAGCCCTGACGCTATCTCCTTCATTTGTATGGCTAAAATGGAATGCCACGCAGTTTCCTTAATAAGATAGCTAATCTGGAAGGCACGGAACAAGGTTACAACTGAATATCCTAGGGTTATCAAGGTTTCATATTACTGCGTGGCAGCCCTAACGCTACCTCCTGATTTAGATGCCAAAAATGGAATCTCCAAAAATACATGCTATCTGGAGCGCACAGCACAAAAATACAACGAAATATTCTAATTTTGATAAATTTTAAGTTCCCTGTTGAGTCTCTGCGTGGCAGCCCCAA